GACAGCGCCCTCGACGTACTCAATGACGCATGTACGGCAAAACCCGTGGCCACACGCCGCCACCACCCCATCCTCAATCTCCTCGTGGCACAGCCCGCAAATCGGAATGGCCATGCCGCCGCCGCAGCCTCCGTACGCGCCGGTGTTGATCACGGCATCCGGCGATGGTGCGTTGCCGTCTCCACTTTCGCCGCCATTGTCATTGACCGCCGCCGGTGCCGCCGTAGCGGGATTGTTTGTGGCAGAGTAGATCACCTGTTGTACATCGACCATCAACCAAAAGGAGACCCAGGTAGTTGGTGGTTGTGACAGTTTTTACTCCTCATTTCAGCAACAGCAGCAGCGGTTTATATTGGTAATTTCTCCGTACACCCGTACAAACGGCAGCTATGGGGCCCCAACAGCATTCTAAGAATTGTAGATACAATACACAATTAACAATAACCCCCACTGCTCCTACGCCAACCGCCAACCAACTGTCGCCAACCGTCAACCAACCAACCTACCAGGTAAGGGTGGTCCACGGCCTGGCGCAGCCGGATGAGCAGGTCGAAGATGTGCTGTACAAGGAGTACGGCAATACGACAGAATTCGGGCAAATGCGGGTAAAGGACGAGACATCTAATAAAACGGACAGAAAAGCGATCAACGAAAGGGGCAGTGTACGGCCGCAGCTGATGTCCCCGCGACAGGGTTTGAATCTCCTCCACCTTTCCCCCCACCCCCCGACAAGTTATCCTCCACCAGCACCCCCCTACCCCCCTACCCCGCTCCCCCCTTCTTTATATCTGCCGCAGCAGTCTTTCCTTGGCAGCAGCTTCATTCGCTCGTAGTTCGTCTTTCCCCCCGTCCTTCCCCCGGTCTCCCCCCTTCTCCCCCCCCTTCCCCCCAAGCCCAAACCCCTGGTGAGCTCACCGCGTAGTTGTTCAGCAGCGTGCCACTATCCACGTAAGCGCCGAACTGGGCCTGACTCTGCATCGAGTGCGGGGAAGACTGGGGTGAATTCGTGTGTGTTTTATAGTAGTTTCGGAGCTGTTAAGAGGAAGTGGCGAGGTTTGTGTGTGTATGTGTGTGCGTACATCAAAGGTTATAGCTATGGCAATCAAATCACGTCGTGACGTCGTACCGCTCCTTGAGCTATCGGTCGTACGGTCCGTACACGTACGGTCCAAATGTTCGTATTACCTGCGTGTATAGCGCCTGGTAGTAGTCCTCCTCCAGCTCGTCGAAGCGGTCGCGTCGAAGCAGTACGGTACGGGGCGGCAGCGCCAGATCATCCGCACATTGGACCTGTGTACATATGTACGACAAAGCAGTACAGCTTTACGTGGTGTACGGTAGTATTGGTGATGAAGGTTGCCAATTACATGTGAATTATATATGAAAGGGTCTCGCACAATGTAACAAAAACCGCGGCCAGCACCAGCACCAGCACTCAATCATTGAGACTGTACGAACCTTTGTACGGCGTAGCAGAATGGCGGGCAAAATCCGGTTCTTGAGCAGCATCAGTGCCGTACGCCCTCTCCCACTGTAGCCGTGCGCCTTGATGGGGTTTGCCACAAACCTGTGCGCGTATATGTATGTAAGTATGTATGTATGTAAGTTTTTAATCCTCTCCCCATATCCATACTCAGACACGTGGAATCCCCTCCCTCCCTCCGTACATACACGCATACACGCACACCTACATACACACGTTCCTCCCCCCGTGTTTCCCCCCTTCTCCCCCTCTCTCCCCCCCGTACCTATTCCACCAGCAGTAGTGGCTGAGGGGCGAGTGGCTGCAGATGTCGCACTGGCGGTGGTGCTTCGTGAAGGGGTAGTCCAGGGAGGTGCACTCGCAGCAGGCACCCGCCTTGCGACAAAAGTAGTACGCGTACGGATAAATCCTTCGTACATGAAACAGTTGGAAGTCCAGGGGGCCACCATCCGCATGCACTCTCATGTAGACTTTACGCAAGTACGGCACTTTATACGGTATACGACACACACGTCGTACATAATTACGAGAGGTACGGCAATTATAGTACATATTTGGTTCAGCAGGAGAGGAAGCACCGTTCCACCTCATGAGTCCATCCATGATTAGCACTAACCGCCTAACAGTTAACCGCTAACCACTAACCGTTGCCAGAGACGCACCTCAGAAACCGAATGAGGCTGTACAGCTCCGCCACTCGGTTTTGCAACGGTGTGCCGGATAAGGCCCACTTGTATTTGGACTGTAGTGCGAATACGGCCTTGGCTGTGGAGCAGCGACGGTCCTTGATACTGTGGGCCTCGTCCAGGATGATCCGCCGCCAGGGAACCTAAACAAGTGGGTTTTAGGTTTTTAAAATGAGGTTTGATTTTGAGGTCATGGAAAAGAGGAGTAAAAAACCACAACACCAATGTTATTAATTGGGATAGGGTCGGGTGCAAAACCGAGTAAAGTGGCGACAGTTGTTGCCCACAACCACTCCTCCAACGACCCGTTCCAACCACCCATGTATGTGTGTTTTCTCCCTCCCCTGCTCACACTCTCACCTTTCCTCCTCTTTCACCCCGCATTACCCCCAAATTCCCCTCCTCCCCTTTCCCCACCCGTCTCCCCCTTCCACCCCATACACACACACACGCACACGACACGCGCCCAGCAATACCCACTCTGTGTAGCACCGACGCGTCTTGAGCCCGACTTGGTGCCGCCCTCGCCGCCGCCTCGATCATCTCCTCCGCCTCCCGCTCAGCCAGCTCAGCAAGGTCCCTCCCCTTGGAGCCCCCCCTGGAGCCACTTCGACGGCTACCCGACTGCCGTACAGATCCGCCGCCATTCTTGCCGCCGCCTTTGACAGTGCCGCCTCCTCGCTTGCCAGAGGCGGCCTTTTTGGACGTAATCCGTTTCCTGTCGGTTGGGGTTGGTTAGGTTAGTTATTTTAAAACCTCCGGCCCAACCTTTCCTCCCCCCCGCTGGCTCACCTCGTACCACCCCTCTTCTCCTCCTCCTCCTGTTCCTCGTCTTGCTCCGAAACCAGATCCACCACGTCGTCCTCCTCCGAAACCACTTCTTCCTCTTCTTCTTCCTCTTCTCCCTCCACCTCCACCGCCTCGTCGGGCTCAAAGTCGCCATCCCCCTCCTCCTCCTCCTCCTCCTCCTCCTCCTCCTCCTCGCCGTACTTCCCGGACCCTGAGCAGGCCCAAATAGATTGACCGTTAGAGAGGTCAGAGACCGGCAGAGAGTAACGCAGAGAGAATTGGTAACTTTGGTTGGGCCACTGGATATGGGCGCATTACGGGGTACGGTGGTTCCGTCGTTGACATATCCCGCCAACCCTCCATCCCGCCCTAAACACACACCACTTCCGTCATCCTTACACACGCACACGCATACATACGCACATACACACAAGAAGTTCCCTCCCTCTTCCCCCCATCCCACCTGTCGCCGCTACCGTACGGGTTCCACCGCGACCTCGCTTGCCGTTGCAGTTCCTCAACCCCCCCTTGCCGCCACCGCCACCGCCGCCACCGCCATCGCCGCCGGTTGTTTTACGTGTGCGTTTTCGCGTCTGCTGCTGCAGTTGCTGCTCCGTCTCGACTGTCTTTGTCATCTTGCGGCTGTTGTCGTACTTCTTCTCTTTCTTCTCCTTCCTCTGCGCTCTGGAGAGGGCCTCCGATTTGACCGCATAAGGCCCACAGAAGAACCTCAAGTGCACCTGTACGACCAAACAGACAAAGGCGATATGGAGGGATAGGTGTTCACACACAAAAATAATAAATTCCCATTATATACATACAGACATACATATGGACAGACAGACGCACCTTGAGACGCTCCGGGTAGAACCTCTTACTGCAGTACTTGCACTGCACCTTGTTCGGCAACATAAACCTGCACATGTACGGCAGATGTGAAGTACGACGGTAGTTAAGTACGGCACGGTATTCAACATTATGTCGTGTCTCCATGAAAACATACAACCCCAAACAGATACAAACACAAACGCTGCCGTAAATGTACCTGCGATACTCATTCTCGATAACGCTGTACGTCGTCAGTACGATATCTGCCTCCCGTAAAGCAGCGCCGTCTGCATCCCCTGCAACCTGTGTGCGTGTGTGTGTGTGTTTCGGGAAAGGGGGAGTTTAGGGAGGGTTCCATGTGTGTGTAGTACACTCCTGTCGTAGAATAGGTACAATAGTACACACATACAGGACGCCCCCGCCTCTTTTCCCTCCCCCCTCCCCATGCGGTATCAGCTTCACTCGCTCGTGGTTCGTCTTTTCCCCCCTCCCTCCC